CCAAAAGCCAGCACGAGCAAGCTGCCGACAGATGCGTCTCCCGACTCCAAATGCCCCATCTGCCTGGATAGATTTGACAACGTCGCATATCTAGATCGCTGCTTGCATAGGTTCTGCTTCCGCTGCGTCCAAGAATGGTCAAAAAACAAAGCAGAATGCCCGCTCTGCAAGCAACCCTTTTTTTCCATTTTCCATACGATTCGTGCTGAAGATGACTTCAAGGAGTACATACTCAGCCCTTTGGAAACAAGCTCTTTTGCCAGCCCCGATGGCCGGAGGTTTCGTTACCGCACTACCTTAACGAGGGAACGCCGCACGCGCGGTTCCCCTTCCCGGAGGATGCTGTCCCCTCCGGATAACGGGATGTTGTTTGAAGGGCTGTCGAGCGAGCCGATGCGACACAGACACAGAGAGATTCAGCAGATGATCAGGAGGCTGGCCTCAAGGAGAAAGGCTAGCGCGGAGGGCAGATCTCTGCGGCAGATTCAGGAGGAGGACATGATCACCTTCCGCAGGGCTCTGTACCGCACCGGCGTGCGCATCCGCAGCATTCAGGACGGCGGGCGATACCGAGAGATTTCGGCAGAGTTCTTCCGCCGCAACCCTGCTTGCCTTCACCGCTTGGTTCCTTGGTTGAAGCGAGAACTTACAGTCCTGTTTGGTGCCCACGGGTCTCTGATCAATATTGTGCAGCACATAATCATGAGTAACGTGACTAGATACGATCTGGAAAGTCAGGCCTTTGCTGATGATTTAAAGCCGTTTCTGCTGAATCGGACAGAACACTTCCTGCACGAATTCATCAGTTTTGCTCGCTGTCCTTTTAACTTAGAAGCGTACGATCAACACGCCAATTATGACTGTCCTGCACCATCATATGAGGAAGGAAGCCACTCAGACTCATCAATTATTACCATATCTCCAGATGTGGCGTACCCGCAAGGGCCAGAGAGTAGCTTGTCTGTTCCTGGTCTTGGTCAGGCCCCGTGGGATGATGAAACTCCAGGGCCTTCCTATTCCATTTCAGAAGAGGTTCGTGCAACCATAGCTTCTCCTCTGGAGTCATCGGAAAGTTCTGATGAGGACTCTGCCTCAGGGAGCCGAAGAGCCAAGCTGCAGACGGAGTTACAGGCCAATGCGGACTCAAACGACAGCGGCTCTTCCTCAGACAATTGCGTCATTGTCGGGTATGTTAAGCCCTTAGCTGAGAGGACACCAGAAGTGGTTGAGCTGTCCTCTGACTCTGAGGAGTCCATCAAGGAAGAGAAAAGGGAAGATGTCAAGAAACAGCGACCAGTCCAGTGTCACAGCTGGAGTGACAGTGAACCAAGCAGGAGCTTCTCACCACATTCCCCAACATATAGGGAA